TAAACAATAAAGATAAAGAAAATAGATGAAACCAGAGTTGGTTCTTTAAAAAGATCAACAAAACTGAAAAAACTCTAGCTAGATGGACTAAGAAATAAAAAGAGAAAACTCAAAATACTAAAATCAGAAATGGCAGTGGTAAATTTACATGGGACTCTAAGAAATAAAAAGGATTATTGGAGGGTACTATGAACAACTATATGCCAAAAAAACAAAACAAAACTGTATAACATAGATGAAATGAACAAATTCCTAGAAACACAAAACCCATCAAGACTAAATCACAAAGAAATAGATAATCTGAATAGATCTATAACTAGTAAGCAGATAGAATCAGTATCAAAATCTCCCAACAAAGAAAGTCCCTGGGCCTGATGGCTTCACTGGTGAGTTCTTCTAAATATTTTTTTTTAATTAATATCAATCCTTCTAAAAATTATGCTAAAAAATGATGAGGGAACATGTCCTATCACTCTATGAGGACATCATTACCCTGATACCAAGGCTAGAACAAATATACTATAAAAAACAATACTATAGACCAAAATTCCTCATGAACCTTGATGCAAAAATTCTTAACAAAATACTAGCCAACAGAATTTGACAGCATTAACAGGATCATACAGACTGGCCAGTGTAGGTCAGTGGATTGAGTGTCCTCTCATGGACTGAGAGGTCCCAGTTCAATTCCTGGTCAGGGCACATGCTGGGGTTCCCAGCTTGATCCCCAGTAGGGGGCATGCAGGAAGCAACCTATAGATGTTTCTCACATTGATGTTGCTCTCTCTCCATTCCTCTCTCTCTCTCTCCATTCCTCTCTCTCTTTTTAAAAAAAAAAAATCAATTAAAATGGATTATACAGCTATATGCCTTTAGCAAGTAGGATTTATTGCTGGAAGAGCAGAATGACTCAACATATAAAAACTGATCAAAGTAATACATCACATCAACAAAAGGAAAGGGAAAAAAAACCACTTGATCATTTCAAATAATACAGAAATAGCATTTGATAAAACAATATATTATAATAAAAACACTCAACAATTTAGAAATAGAGGGAAACTATCTCCACATAATAAAAGCTATATATGAAAAAGCCACAGCAAATTCAATGGTGAAAGACTGAATACTTCTAAGATCAGGAACAAGGCAAGGAGGCACACTTTTACCACTTCTATTCAACAGAGTTCTAGCCACCACAATTAGGTAAGGAAAGAAAGAAGAAAAAAGAAATAAAAGCATCCACTTGGAAAAGAAGTAAAATTATCTGTCTGCAGATGATATGATCTTATGTGTTTAGGGTTTAGAATTTCTATCCTAGACTCAGAAAAAAATTGGTAGAACTAATAAATTCAGTTGGATATAGTAAATGCACAAAAATCAGTTGCATTTCTATACATAAACAATGAGCAATCTAAAAAGAAAATTACAAAAACAATTCCATTTACAATAGCATCAAAAAATAAAATACTTAGGAATTTAATCAGAGGTGAAAGAATTGCACAATAAAATCTACAAAACAATGCTGAAAAATTAAAGAAGATAGAAATAAATGGAAGCACATCCCATGTTCATCAATAAAGACTTAATGTTGTTAAAATGTCAAAATTATCCCCTACATGACCCATGGACTTTATTCAATCCCTATACAAATCTCTATGACTTTTTTTCAGAAACAGAAAAACCCATCCTAAAATTAATATGGAATCTCAAGGCACTCCAAATACTCAAAACAATTTGCCAAAGAACAAAACTGGAGGACTCACACTTCCTGGTGTACTATAAAACTACAGTAATCAGAACAGCATGGTATTGGCACAAAGAAATATGGATCACCCTGGCCAGTTTGGTTCAGTAGTTAGAGCACTGGCCTGCAGACCAATGAGTCTCAGGTTTGATTCCGGTCAGGACATGTACCTTGGTTGCGGTTCGTCCTGGCCCTGGTCAGGTCATGTGGGAGGCAACCAGTCGATGTGGCTCTATCACATTGATGTTTCTCTCTGTCTCTCTCTCTCCCTCCCTCCCACTCTGTCTAATAAGTGGAAGGGTGTCCTCGGGGTGAGGAATAAAAAATTAAAATTAAAAAAAGACATGTGGACCAATGGAACAGAATGGAAAGCCTGGAGATAAGCCCTCAGATATGTGGTAAACTGATTTTTGACAAAGGAGTCAAGACCATTCAGTGAGGAAAAGACAGTCTTTTCAACAAATGATGCTGGGAAAATTAGATATACACATGCAAAACGATGAAGGTGGACCTTATCTAATACCATATAAAAGAAACTAACTCAAAATGCATCAAGAATCTAAATGTAACACCTAAAAAAATTAAACTCTTACAGAAGATTCACAAGATTGGATTTGGCAAAGGCTTACTGGAGCATAGGCAATGAAAGAAAAAGTAGACATATTGGACTTCAAGAAAATTTTTCAATTTTGTGCAGCAAAAGGGACTATCAACAGAATAAAATGGCAACCCACAGAAAATATTTGCAAATCATATATATATATAACAGATTAATATCCAGGATACTTAGAGAACTCCTAAAACTTAACAACAAAAACAAACAAAATTAGCAAAGAACTTGAATAGACATTTCTCCCAAGAAGATAAAGAAATGGCCAACAAGCACATGAAGGTACTCAACATCACTAATCATAATGGAAATGAAATCAAAAGTAGGAGATAGCACCTCACACCCAATGGCTACTATAAAAAAAAAACAAGTGTTGGTGAGAATGTTAAGGAATTGGGACCCTTGTACTGTTGGTGAGACTGTAAATCACTATAGCTACTATAGAAAACAATATGAAAGTTTCTCAAAAAATTTAAAATAGAATTACCATATAATCCAGCAATTCCATTTCTGGGTATATATACCCAAAAGAATTGAAATCTGGGTCTTAAGACATTATTTATACACCTATATTCATAGCAGCAGTATTCACAATTGCTCACACATTGAAACAACCCAAGTGTCCATGAGAGGATGAATGGACAAGAAAAATGTGGCATATACATAAAATAAAATATTATTCAACCTTCAAATGGAAGGAAATTCTGCAATATGCTCACTTGAGGACATTACACTAAGTGAAAGAAGCCAATCACAAAAGGACAAATACTATATGATTCCACTTATATGAGGTACAAGGAGTAAAGAGTTCTGGGATGGCTGGTGGTGGTGATGGTTGCACAGTATCAATGTATTTAATACCACTTAAAAATGGTTAAGATGATAATCTTATGGGTATTTTACCACAATAAAAAGAAAAAAACAATGGGTGGAAATATATGTATATGTTTGTTTGTACAGGTACAAAATATCGCTGGATGGATATATCTAAGAAATGTAAAACGGCTGACTCCTACAGAAAGGGAGTATGGTTGGCTGGAAAACCTAGAAGGAAGACTAGACTATACACCATTTTTATTGCTTAAATTTTGAGTCATGTTACTACTTACTTCCTCAAAAACTAAATAAATGTACAAAAAAATGCTTGCAGCAATTACAAAGAAATTAAAAAGTACAATATAACTATTACCAGATGTGAGAAGTATTATTAAAAGTTGTTTAGGGGAATCTTTCTTTTTTTGAAAGTCTTGGTATTTACTACTTAAAAAGGTACCTAAATCTGGCAAAAACAGGAAAAGTAATAGTTGAGTCATGAGCAGTTTAAGGAAGTGTGGTTTTGTTGTTGCTGTTATAATTGAACAGTACACTTGAGTGCCAACTATTAGGAAAGTCTGCCTCTTTTGGTCATGATTTTTATATCCTTTCTTATTTTAATGCACAAACATAACTAAAAATTAATGTTGCCAAAATTATATCTATATTAATGCAGTGATAGTTTCTGAACCTTTTCAAAGAACTTCCTTATTTTTATTCTGTGGTACAAATCATTTGATCTATCCTATTTATGTACCTTTAAAACTCTAAAGTAAACAGAACTAAGTTGGTAACAGAGACAATATTTTGTTTAAAAAACAGCATTTTTCACTGTTTACCTATAACTGCAAATACAAAAACTAAAGCCTGATCAAATTTGAGTTTAAATTAATCACATACATATATTTGAGATAAGACTAACAGATTACAGCTGTTTTTCAATGTCACTTTCCTTTTCAATCAATTTTTTTTTCTTTGAAGCAAATGAATGTTAAAAGTTTGGTGAACCAAGTGTACTTTCTGAGTAATGGACTTACATAATAGAAACATAACAGTAAATGTACAGTAAATAATACATACAGAAATTCCTTTCAAAAAAACCGGCACCCATTAGGAGACGCATGATTAAATAAATCCACTTAGCGAAAAGGAAAACTTTGTACATCCATACGCCTTCACTTTCCCATTATTACCAGGAAATCCTGAAATAAAAGCTCTGAGTCATGAGATCTCAAGGGATAGTTCCTTCTGCACACACCCTACTGGAAACCTTTCTCCCTTTCCTCCAACTTCTCCAGAAAGCAGCGCACAACCACCTCTCCCCCACCCCCTTCCCGAAAGTCAGGCTTCGGCCACTCAACAAACACCCCCTGCTCCTTCCAAATCCCGGACGTTCCCTTGTGCCACCAAGGAAGGTGATTAAGTGCAACCCCCGGGAACGCGGAGCTCCGCGAAGAACCAGAGCCTGCGGCTCATTCTCATCCACAAGGAACAAAAAGGGTCGAGAAGCACCGGAATGCGAAAGAGTCCCCGAGCTGCGGCGGCGCCTGGGGCTGTGTCCAACCCCGGCCACCACACGGGCCGTGGCCGGACCACGGAACCAGCAGGCAGAGCGCACAGCTCGCGCAAACTTTCACCCGGGCCGCCGAGCGCACAGAGGGCGCCGAGCCCGCTGAGGAGAGGGCGTCCCCGCCGCCACCTTCCCCAAACCGTGGCGACCAAGACGCTCTCCGCTTTGTGACCCGAGATCTCCACGCCCCTGCCCTTCATCCCACGCCCTGACACGGCATGAGCGTCCCTCTTCCACCTCCCCACCCCAGGGCTGCTTACCTAGGCCGCAGGGAACCGCTAGCCGCTGCCTTCGATGCCTCCGGTCACCAGTACTGACTTCCCAAACCTGCGGAAAGGAAACCGGCGCGCACCGGAGGACCGCCCTTGAGGCGCATCATGGCGCCGCCCCCGCCTTCCCACCGCGCAGGCGCTGGGCGCCCAGTCAGCTGACCCGTCCCCATAGTAACATGGCAGCGGGGTGGTAGAGGCCAGCGGGCGCGGAGCTGCTGCTGCTGCTGCTGCTGCTCCCGCGATTGGAGAATGCAGAGTCGCCCGCTGCCGCCTTGCCTTCTGTTGATCACCTACCCCACCCTGCCAGTAAGAGCTCTACCCAAGGGCCTGGTGCCACTTGTTCACTGCTGCCTTGGGCTAAGCTCAGGGTCACGTGGATCCCACCTCGTCCGATACAAAAAGAGACTCCTTTGGCGCTTTCCTCCGCCAGCCTTGGGCTTCCACCATTGTAGTCACTACCCTCTCCACCCACAGGCTCAGGAACATTGCTCCCACTAACCCTTCTCAACTCCCGACCTCTTTGTGCTATAACTGGTCTTCGGCTTTGATCACTTTTTGTCCATCCCAACTAAAGTTCGTTGGCAGTTGAAGGTTTTGTGTAATAGTACACAAAAGTAACAGCTGTGTCCTAATGCAAAAACTAAAAAACTGTATTTCTTGAGGACCAACTGTGTTCCAGGCACTGTCCTAAGATCTTGATTTATATAGTCTAAATTGGTCCTTAACATTAATTTATATGATATGATTGAGATACATCTTCATTAGAAAACCCCAAAAGTCTAAATTCAGGATCATTTCCAAAGAACTGACACGTAGCCTTATTAAAATTTATAAGAGATTTAATCGGAGAAACACATATTTGGGCAAAGCAGCTAGGTGGCCAGCCAGGAATTAACAACATCCCTCCCAGGACAGAGCCTCTTTTTTATAGGGGGTTAAGAGTAAAACCATATAGTGGGTAGTCATGTAGACCACCAGAAAGTACAATGCATTTCTTTCTTTTTTCTTTTTGGTGTGGGTTTTCTTGTTATAAGATCTGTATATTGCACTTTGTGCCTACCACCCAAAACCAAATTATCCTCCATCACCATACATTAGGCCCCCTTAAATTCCCATACACCTACCCCATTCCCTCTGGCAACCACCACACTACTGTTTGCGTTCAAGAGTTTTAGTTTTTGGACATGGACAACAAAGCTGGGGACAGGGCGAGGAGGAATGGGTAGGAAGGTGTCAATGGGGGAAAAAAGGAGAAACATCTGTATCAAAAATAAATTAATTTAAAAAAAAGAGTTTTAGTTTTGCCCTGGCCAGTTTGACTCAGCGGTTAGAGCACCAGCCAGCGGACTGGAGAGGCCTGGGCTCGGTTCCTGCTAAAAGCACATACCTAGGTTGCAGTTTGTCCCGCCCTCCCCCCTCCCCCCCATGTTGGGGTCCATGGGTGGCAACTACTGGTTGTGTCTCTCTCACATCAATGTTGATGTTTCTCTCTCTCTCTTCCTCCCTCTCTCCCTCCCACTGTATCTGAAGATAAGTGCAAAAATGTCCTTGGATGAGGATAAAAATATAATTTAAAAAACGTTTTAGTTTTATATCCCACATGTGAGTGAAATCATATGATGACGAAGGGAGATCCTGAGATGACAACTATATATACAAGGGGCCTAGAAAGCAGCAGTCCCCTTTGAAATCTGATGATAGCTCCAGGAGGGATGTCTCCAAGAAAAGTAATATATTTGAACATAAAATTCTTGCTGCTGGGGATGGGGAGATGAATAAATGATAAGAAATAAGAGTAAAAAAAAAAAAAATGAGGCAAATTGTCCAAGAAAAAAAATGTAATCATATCACTCTACCTGACTTACATTTGAATAATCCTTATACAGGCATAATAAATCAACATATTATTAATTTACGCTCAAACTATGATCATAATTTAACAACAGATGCTAACATTATTTTCCAGAAGATGTTACTTTCTTTAGGATTTTCAGTGGTCTGATACAAAAATAGATCCACAAATATAAATACATTCTACAATTACCATGGTAGGGTACAGGGTACAACTAACCAAAGATTACATTGATTCTCTTTTTATTAGAGAACTAAATATTAAAATCTCTTTAATATTCCATGCTACACCTAAAGTATATAGTGCTCTTATTTAAAAGGATGCTTCCTGAATCTATTCCTGTCTTATAATGTTGCTTAAGGGTAGAAGTAAAGATGAGAATAATTACATTTTTATTCCATTTTCAGAACTTAGAATTTTGTCTTTTAAAGGTTCCTAAAATAATAATAATGAATAGCACTATCGTAATTAGCATTGTTGTTACTTCTAAAGATTTCATTTTAACATAAAAATAAAAAAATGTCGATCATTTGCAAGTCACTTGCTCTACTGAATTATGTAACTTCCTCTTCCTTTTAAAAATCTCAGTCACATGGTAAACCAGACTGCCCTAAACTTCTTATAATGTTATCTTTTATTCCAGAACACTTTTCTCTCCTCAGGGTTTTATATCAACAAAATTATGAATAATGTTTTGTTAAACAATAAAACCACCACTTAAAACACTCCACAGCTAACTTTCCTAGGAACAATTTGTTTATGCACATTCTAGAGAATCTCACTTAATAAGAGAACATGTTCCTGAAAAAAATGTATGCACTGTAAATTATATTTTGTCAATTCAGTCACTTTTTAAATGCACAAGGGGTACTTCCTGTTACAAAGAATATTGAAATATATCATTTTGTAAAATCTAAATACTTGTGAAAGTAAATAATTATTCCTTAGTAAATATCACTTTTTCATGTTGGATATGCATTACTGGTTATTTTATAATAGAACATCCCTGTGTAAATAAAAATAGTCACAATTTCTAGAGTATCATTTCCCCAGGTATTTACAGTGTTTACAAAGCTATTTTTAAAGTTCTTCCATAATAGATGACTTTGCCATAGTGAAGTGGTCATCTGTACTAAAAGTTCCATCACAGTTATGAGCCACACCTTTGACAGGTCGTAAAAAATATGGTTGGTTGACATATCAATACATTAAACAGAGCTTGTAAATATAAGTTAAATTAATTTATAGTATGACATTTGGTTCTTCTTTCAAATGTGTGTGTTGAATTCTGCTTTCTTAAAAATTTAAAATAAACTTTACCATAGTTAGAATATTCTTCCTTCCACAAAATGGAAATATTTGTGGGCTTATCAAAAATACTTAAAGCAAAGGTACAGTGACTTAAAACAAAGGTACAGTGACTCCTTAAAACAAAAAAGGAGTCTCAATTGTCAGTTGGGCATTTATTTTGTTTCAAGGCTCTATCTTCTCCCTTTTGCACTGGCCATCATGATGGATAATATTTATGTGGATCCTGAGAAAAAAGATACCTTCGAAGAAGAGCTCCAGGTGGCTGACTGAGCTAAAATTAAAACAAAACAGAGCCTAGCAGCCATTTCTAAACAGGGGCCTCTCATGCAAACCTCACATCACCTACTTGTACTGTGTTTCTGCCATCTGTACCAACCCTTACAATGGAACTCCTGGAATCCTACTTTAACCAATAGGACTGAGGCTTTCCCCATCCAATTGGAGCTGCCACAGCTATATCTCCATCAGCTTCTTAACCAACCAGTCAGAGCAGTTCCATTCTGACCAGTCCCAGTGCCTTTTGAACCAATCAAACTGCAAGGATTTGAATTTGGAGTCCTCATTTGCATGAGGACAAACCAATCAGGGACCAGTGGCAGGGACTTTTGTTTGTGTGAGTCAGCTCCCTTCTGGCTTTGAGTGCACTTTTCCTTTCTAGGGAAGACTAAAGACTGCATTCCCCCGCTGGAGCTGAAACACCAAAGATGTCTCGCAGAAGCAGAGCAGGTCAGACCAGACCAGGCCAGACCAGGGTAAAGCAGACCAGCAGGGAGCAGAGCAGATCTGTCTAGTCAGAATGGGGCTGGGCCCCAGGGCCTCCTCATAGCTGCACTGTTTTCACAGCTGTGCTGTATCACAATAAAGCTGTTTGCACTGAATAAAGTTTCCTTCTACACCATACCCCAAACCCTGAAATTTCTGTTGGTGTTGAATTGATGCCAACATTTTTATTGACACTTACAATGACAAAAATTTAAATATATGTTAGACCACTTGATGCAGGATTCCTCTAACAGAAAATATAAAGAGGTGATTAATAATATATAAGAATTTATTATAGTACAGTTTGAAATAGCCATGTTGGTAAAAGGATGTGGTTCTTTCTACATTAGGGTTCAAAACGACAGTCATAGGAACACTAACTACAATATTTGTGGCCACTTATGTTTAGCTTAATTTTTAATACTATCTGGAATATTTAAGACCATCTGGGTTGTGTCAAAAAAGAAGATCGTTGAACTCTCTGAATACATGCACATTTCATAGGAGATGCACAACAATGACATTTGAGTTGCCCTGAGTTCCAGAATTTATTGGCTGGTGTTTCTCAACCACACAGGACAGTACTCTTTCAGTATGTTGGAAATTGTATTTGCTTTTAAGTGTAGAATTCTATTTGGGATTCCTCCCTAAGACGTGGATACACACACCCTTAAAAAGAATGCCATGCTCTGTTCCAAATTACACATGGCCAAAAGTGTTCCAGATGTTCGGAATCAACCATATTAGTTGTATTTACACAGCCAGGAAAATACATAATTTCTGAACCGTATTCATATGGAAAATTACTGTAGTTTCATTCATGTAGTTGCTTTTGTGTGGATAATGGGGCGATTATATTAATTTGACCTCTGAATCCCACCTTCATCCTTCAGCTTTTGTTTTCATCCTTACTGTCTAATTTTACATGTAAGCAGAAATGGCCTTTGCTTTTCGTTTTTGTTGTTTCTTCTGTACTAATCATTACTTCATCTTACAGAAACTTCCTGAGGGCTGGGGCTATGCTTCAGGTGGTCTTTCATGCCTGGCACATGCCTAAGGAACAGAAAAGATTTCTAGAATTCAAGAATTCCGGTGTTTTCCTGTTTCTAGGATCCATACTGTGTTTTACATTTTAACTATTCAGAACTTAAGATTTAGGTCATGATCAATGCAAAT